TTACTACTCAACAGTTGTCTCACAACCCGACTCACCGGATGCACACATGCTATATTCCTATAGCATGTCGCCTTCGATTATGAAGACCGGAAAGGCTCACGCCTCTGCCAAGACCAGTATTTAAACCAGGGGGCCTTACAGAGTCCAGACGCACAGAGCGTCACTCCCACAGCCCAGACCAAGTGGTTGGCAGTTAAGTGACAAAAACAACCACATCTGGAACAAATAGCTACCGAATCGCACAGCTGTGTCTTTAACACCTAAACTGGCCACTTTTTGGACATGCACTTATTTTTGCAGATCGCTCTCTTGCTCTCTCTCTCCAGGTACCTGTAAGAAGATGGGGAGCCACATCCTCCAACAGCTCTCATGGAAAAATCAAATGTCTATGGGCTATTTATTCACCACTGCAATTGTTGGTTTCTTTCTTTTTGCTTCTTTCTATACGCCTGTGTTTTCATGAATTTGCATTTTGTTTTAGAATCGGAACAGACTCCAAATATTTATTTTTTTTCTTTGCCTAAGGAAAAGTAATCTCAGGCGGCATTTCTTGCTGAAGACAGCCTTGGCTTCCCTCACACGAGATGACATTGAAGAAGATGGTTTAGCAAGATCAAAAACTGATGTGTTTTTTTAAAAAAAAGCAGACCTTTTAGTGCCTTCAGGTGTTATAATTAAATGATAACAGGTCTGAGATGAGACTTCTTTATTCCTGGGCTAGCCTTACACCTGACTTGAGCTGTCGGGCTGCCCCAAGAGTCACTGTCCGGGGCCATTGCATGTCTGTCTCTGTGGAGGAGGAGGCCTGCTGTGCATTCCTCCACAGACGCGACTTTCTTCTTATCTCAGTGTCTGGCCCACAGTTCCCCTAGATGGGAAATAAATGTTACAGTCTTTGGGGGCCATATGGTCTCTGTCTTAGTTACTCAATTGTGTGGCTGAGTAAAATGCATCCGTAGACAATCTGTAAACCAGGGTGTGGCTGTGTTCCACTAAAACTGTTTACAAAAGCAAGTGACAGGCTGGGTTGGCCCAAGGGTGGTGGTTTGCCCAACTCTGCTTGGTACTGTCCGTGGAGCCCTGGCTGAGTCTTACACTTTGTTTACTCTTTTTTTTTTTTTTAAATCAGGAAACGGTCCTGGTGAAATGTGCCCAGCCTGCTCACCCTTTGATTAATAAGACATATAATTTTGAGAGGTAAGTGCTTTGAGGCATGAAGCAAAGTTACACTAAGAGAAATTTTGCATTAGCATTTGGTTAATGAGATTCATGATGTATCCTGTCATTTGCACTCATTGCCAAGCGGCAAAGGGAATCTCGTGGAGAAAGTGTGTCTTTTCAGCACGTGGTGCTGGTGCAGCCGCGCGTTGCAGGCAGGACGTGAGCCCTGACCTGTGCAGCACACCTTTTGCAAAAAAGTCAGTGAAATGGAATCTAGACCTAGATATGAAGCATAAAACCATAAAATACAGGAGAAGGTCTTTGTGACCTTGAGAAACGCCACTAAAAGCGTGATCCATACAAGAAAAAGATCAATGGGCCTTGACCACAACGAAGCCGTGTGCTCTGTGTGCGGTCTTGTTAGGGGGACGAACTGGCAAAGGCCCCATGTGAGAAAACCTCTGGAAATCACAGAGTGCCCCAAATACCTGTGCCCAGAAAACAAGAAAACAAACAGCCCCATCAGCAAGCCGGCCAAGTGTCTAGACAGACGTCCCACTGAAGACAGGCGCCGACGTCATTAGTTCCCCGCGAGCTGCTGAGGACCTCCGTGCTGACCGCACCGGGGGCTGGCCGCCCCGCATCTCCGCGCTGACGGAAGCGAAAGGTGGCGCGGCCACTTCGGACCGTGGCCAGTTTCCCTGGCATTAAACACCCGCTTACTCTGTGACCCAGGCGTTCCGGAAAAGACAAACCTGGGAGCGGGGAGAGAACAGATCAGAGTCCACCCGGGTCGGGAGGTTGGGCCGGGATTGTCACCGCAGAGGCTGCGCAAGGGTCTCCGGGATTGCCGCTCTGTCGCGGGGCGCCCTCACTCTGTGTGTGCCGACGCCCCCAGAGCGCTCGCCTCACTCAGTGAGCTGTTCTCTGTGTCTGTTTTTCAAAGAGGCTTTCAGAGACAAAGGAACCGGTTGTGATGGTTGGATCCGGGTTCAGTCCATAAAGCCCCGCCCGGGTTTTGTACAGGAGCACTCAAGTGGCCGCCTGGTGTCAGACAAGCCCCCAGGGAGAGGCAGGGGCGCGTCGTCCCTGTGAGGCATCAGTCGACACGGGGGCGACCAGGCCTGAGTGTGAGGCCAGAGGTTCAGAACCAGTGACACTGGACCGAATGGGGCCCAAGGGACAGAGGAGCAAACCCCAGGTTTGGTAGGAGACCTCACGGCCCTCTCAGGAACGACGGAACCGGATACAGCGATCGGCAGGCAGAGGCTCTTGAGCGCGTGTACTCCACCTAGCGAAGTAGAAGTCACCCAGCTTCCCCGTCTTCCTCCGAAATGACCGAAGGACCTTGGGCCACTCGGGCTTGCACCTTGCACACCACCCCCCGGTCAGAGCGCCGCGGGGATCGGACACGGAGATCCCTGGGCTGTGGGCTCCCCAGGCTCAGGGGCCCGAAGCTCCATCACTCCCCCTGACGAGCTGGCCACAGCAGGTCTGCGAGGACTGTGGTGTGGACGAGGGGGACAGAGGAAGTGTGGTCCTGGGGCAGGCTCTGCGGCAGCTGGGGACCGTGCAGGAGATGACGGCGCCCTTCACCGCCAGCTGTCACAGCCTCTGCATCCTCTCTGGGGAGGACGCTCTCAGGAAGTCCAGCCTCCACAAAGGGGTCGGCCCCTGCCACCCTGCTGCTGGCAAGGACACAGGAGGGCTCAGGCCACCGGCCATCCTGCCACCCCATGGCGCCAGAGGCAGCTCCAAGGCTTCTTGGGCCCTGAGTGCCGGCTGCGGCCCCAGAGACCTCAGTGGACCAGGTGGCACGGAAGGATGGGCAGGTCTGGCCCAGGAGGTCAGGAGAGGACACACAGGCAGTCAGACCCACCCTGCAGACCTTCTGGTCACGGCTGCAGTGGCGTGGGGGTGGTGACAGTCCCCGCAAGACACACTGGACGCCACCGTGGTGGGATCGTCTTCTGGGGTCAAGTCTGTCACTGAAGCACAAGGTCCTGGGTGATGCTGTATGAGTAGCAAAGTCTCGGGTCTTTGCCTTGAATGACACCTTCCCTGGGACAACAGGCTCAGCACAGGGGCTCCTGTCCCGCGCTGTCACATGGGCACATGGGCACATGGGCATGTGTAGACGTAACATGACGAGACTTTCCCTGGAGGGTTATTATGGCCGGGGACGGGGTCATCGTCCATCACTAGGGCAGAGCTGTTGCACAGAGGACCTCTAGCCTTGAGGGGTGCCAGCCTGTCAGGGTCAGGAGAAGGGGTTTTGGAGGGGGCACTGCCCCTGGGGGAGCATAGGCCTGTTCTCAGGAGGGAGGGCTGTGAAGGAGCCCCTAGACCTTGACCCGGTCTTCATGTGAGTGCTCCATTTGGGGTTTCTGTCCCCATCTTCCCGTGTCCTGCAGGACTGTGGCCATGGCTCCTCCCGGGCACCCCATCCAGAGCCTGAGGCACACAGCACACTCTGTACCATCTTGGCCCCGCCCTGGCATAGGGCCACCCCCCACCCCTGGCTCCAGATGTCCCCCCTGCAGAGAGCGGGCCCACCTGGAGCACTCCTGCTCCAACCCTGGTTCCACCGGCAGGGCAGCTCCGGCCGCCCCAAGGGCCAGCAGTCTCTCCTCGTGCCCCTGGAGCACTTGTCTGGTGTTTCTGGTTACCTGTCATCAGTGTGACCTGCGTGTGGTGGGGGAGGCAGCCGCACCCCCCCCAAAAGCCCACCTGCCACCAGGCAGCTCTTTAATCCACGTCTCATTTACGTGGCTCCTCAGATGACTCGGAGCAGGTCTGTGTAAATCAAGTCACAGGACCTTTACAGGATCACCTGGGCAGGTGGCACAGGTCAGGAAAGGTCACACAGCTTTCCGGGGAGTAAAGTCTGCTCTTCCTATGAAGTCAGCTGCAACCTGCAGGGCAGAGAGGAGCTGGCCAGGGCGCTGGAGGTGGGGACGCTGCGGCCGGCAGTCACGGGGGCCTTGTTTGGGGGGTGGGGGTGCCCACACGTCACTCAGATGCCAGGATCCTTGGGGTGCCCTGCTGCAGTCATCACACACTCTGGAGTTCAGATGGAAGGGAAAGATCTCGACTGTGGTGTTGGAACAAAAAAAGAGATGAAGGAATGTGTGTACGCCGCTGCATGTGGAGGCTGAGAAGCAAGAATTTAAAGTTAGGTCTCCATAGGAATTTATTCTGCAGAAACACTGTTTTGGTGCTCGGGGCTGTCTCCCTTCACAAACAGTAGAGCAGGTGGGTTTTGTGAAACCAGGACACTGCTTTTTTTTTATAACAGCTTTTTACAGAACTAATAGACGTTAAATTATCTTATTTCAGTTCTGAAAGAAAATCTCAATAGTTTCAGTGCTTAGCCCCTTTTTAAAAATAAATGTGTGTCAAAGGAAAATACACTCCTTACTATTCAGGAAAAATATGAATGGGTCCAGAGTCAGAAAATAGTCACTGCCTTCTGAGTGGAATAAAAATGTGTTATTATTTGTTAAAGTGGCAAACTAAAAGGAACAGCCATTGACCCAAAATGCCATAAGAAAAATACCGAGCAATTTTATTGTCTCGAGTATAATTTACATATGGGGTGGCCGAAGGACTCCTGGCTGTGTCGTCCTCTCCTTACGTGCGTTCATGCCACCCGCGGTGGACTAGCAACTGGTCTGTGCTGAGTCCCCTGTGGTCCTGAGTTCGAGGCTTCCCCGAGCTCCCACTACATGTAGGCAGAGGGCTGTTGGTGAGCCACGGGCGTCCGACCCGGGTCCTGACAGCTCAGTTAGCCAGGAGTTAACCAGGTAGAGAAGAGAAAGGACAGTCCAGGTGGGGAGATGGTCAAAGACACAGAGGAGAAAGAAGAAGAGGGTCAGAGACCCTGGAGCCCCCCAGTGGGGCTGGGTGTAGATGGGAGCCGGTAGGGGGGTGCTGGCTGTGCAGAATGAACACCCCGCGTGGCCTGGCGTGACCCCCACCTCGAGCACCTGCAGCTTCTCCTAGGGACATGCTGGCCCCGGGGGCCCCGCCTGCTGTGGCTGCAATGTCACCTGCACCCGCTTCTTTCACGGGGCTGGACGTCCTTTCGGGCAACGAGAGCCACGTGCGGTTCTGTGACGTGCTCCTCTACAGAGACTGAGAAAGGATTTCTAACCTAGTAAGGAGCAGATTCCTACATTAGGAGGACATGGTAGAGTTTAACACAGAGAGTATTGGCCTTTTCCTTCCCTATTTTTAGGAGCGCTTTATGTATCAGGAATATTGATCTTTTGTCCATGATTTTAAGTGGCAACTGGTTTTCCAGGTTTGTTATTTGTATTTTTTTCTGATATCTCTTAGCCACGCAAAAGCTTTCTCCCCTTTAACTTAATTACAGGTACAAAGGCCACAGGGTTAGAGAAGAATATACTCACGTGTTCTTCCAGTACTCGAGTGATTTATTTTTTACGTTAAACTCACCATCCATTTGGAATGTATCCTAGAATAACCAATGTCTGAGGAATGGATCCTACTTCACCTTTGCCCACGTCCCTCCCCAGTGACCTCGACACTCCTTAGTGAGACACACCTTTTCCCTGCTAATCTGAGGTGCCCCCTTCGTCCTACACCTGCCACGTGCAGGCGGGTCTGGTCCTGGATTTGTCTGAGGCACCCTCGGCCCCACTCCTTTCCTGCCCAGGGATTTCTTTCTATTCTGCTCTCTCATTTTGCCAAATAAATTGTCTAAACACATTGTCTGGCTCCAGAAAAAACCTGATGGTGTATACGGCATTTGGGGGGGATTAAGGCAAGTTTATAAAGTAACTTTGGAAAATCTGGCTTCCTCACAGAGCTCAGACTTGCTGCGCAAGTATGTGGTCCATCTTTTCATTTGTTCAAGTTGAGTTTTGTGTCTTTCAGGAGAGTTTAATATTACTGTTGTCCCGAAAGGATTTGGACATTCCTGATGAAGCATATGGCTAGGTTCTTGGTTTTCTTTTTTCCTGCCATCTATGGGACCTTCCTCCCATGGTATCCTCTTACTCGGTTGTCTGTAAGTGTGAGCACGATTGACATTTGTGCACAAACCCTATAGCCTGCAACCTCGCTAAAGCCCCCTTCTGGCTCAGTAGCATCTGGTCCTTTGACACTGGAGTGCCTGGATGCCTGGCCACATCTCCGCTAGTGGAATGAGGGTCCTGGCCACCACTCAGCTGCTTCATTATGTCCAACTGCTGGGGCCCTGAGCATTGGACTTGGTACAGCATTACCAGGTACAAGTGGCAGGACCTTTGACCTTGGGTTCCTGGTGGTGAGTAAGAGCTGAGCGTTGACGACGCTCACCAAGCCTAAACTATTTACTATTTAGGAAATGCTTGGGGATCCCTGGGTGGCTCAGCGGTTTGGCACCTGCCTTTGGCCCAGGGCGCGATCCTGGAGTCCCGGGATCGAGTTCTGCGTCAGGCTCCAGGCATGGAGCCTGCTTCTCCCTCCTCCTGTGTCTCTGCCTCTCTCTCTCTCTATGTCTATCATAAATAAATAAACCTTTAAAAAAAAAAAAAGGAAATGCTTGCCGAGCCCTGCCATAGATTAGAGATTCAGGAGACATTCGGCCAGCAACCACGGGAATGTCTTGCTTGAATCATGATTTTTAAAAACTGAGAGGAAAAATAAGCTTACCAGAGAACCAGAGGAATGTCAGGGAACACACACTGACTTTGGGGGGGTGGTGATGCTAAGTCATTGCCATTAATTTTTTAAAATGTGGTAATGGTAACATTCCATGATGTTTTTTGGAAGAGTCTTCACCCTTTTCAGATACTGAAATATTTGCGAGGTCTGCTTCTATAGGCTCTGGGTGGAGGGCTGCGGGCTAGTGCTGAGTAGCAGGCCTTGGGGAGTTTGGTGATAAGTTAAAAAGAAGACTCCAGGGGCTCCTGGGTGGTGCAGCTGGTTAGGTGTCCGACTCTTGGTTTTGGCGTAGGTCCTGAACTCAGGGTGATGAGGTGAAGCCCCACATTGGACTCAACACTCAACACAGAGTCTGTCTGAGATTCTCTCTCTCTCTCTCTGCCCCAGCCCCCTGCTCATGCTCTCTCTCTAAAATAATAAATAAGTAAATCTTAAAAAAAAAAAAGATTCAAGAGATCAGCATCACACCGCTTTCTCTAAATGCCGTCCTGATCATGCATCATAAGCAACATTTTATAAGTTTAAAATTACTCCTGCTCCTAGAGATACTAGGGATCAATGGGACACTGACACATTTTGAAAATGAAAGAAGAGAAGCATTTGGCCCAGCTCAATAAAAACCTGTAGTTCAGGCATCTAAGCTTAAATGCAAAGCACATTCGATTCAATGCAACCGACCACGAGTGCTTATTTCATATGTTTGGCAGTCTGGCACAAATTCTGCTCTTCAGCTGCATTCCAATCTTGCTTCAAATTGTGCAGCGAGCTGCATTTTTTGGAAGTTCCTTCCTACTTAGCTGCGTTTGTGCGTGCTTATAAACACAGAACCACATCGGAGTCCCTTCTCCATAGCAGACATTCCAGTCCCATTACACGTATGGACATTCTGCTCCACTAACCTGGGGCCTCAGGAAAACAATCCTTTAAGAGCGTGAACATAAAAGTTAAATATTATATATCAAATGTTGCCCAGCATATGATTTTTACATGATTATTGTTGGACCCACTTAAGTGGAGCTAATTTAGTTCCAAGATAATTACATGGTATCCCTTCTTTTTTTCTTGCTTGCTTGCCTTTTCTTTCTGCTTTGCAAGCATTCATAATTGTGTTTTTATAACACAGGAGACATTTCTTCAGTTTTCCTTAACCTCTGTCAGCCTGAACGGTAATGGAATCAATGTTCATTGTTGGCAGAGTTGGACCTTGACTGTGCTGGGGGCTGAGATGGGAAGTGGATGGGGCTCTCATTCTTAGAGGGTTTTCAAATTTGGTTACAAATGTAAATCTCTGTTTCTTCCAATAATGCATCTTATTTGCTTTGCCTCTCAGAGTTTATGGTCCAGAAGAATCTCAGCAAGTGGTATTTGGGGATGTGTGCCCGCTGCTTACGTCTCTCATAGATGGGTGAGTTAAAAGACCTTCAAGGTCTGTGATCACAGTTACGTGTAACGGTGGGTAGATCTCATTCAAGCTACACAATGAGCATTTTATACGATGGCAGAGCAAACCGGTGGCCCCAGGCCGATTAGCATCCATCAGGGGACAGTAGGTCTGCCTGCCAGGAAGAGGCCTAAGCAGGACCTGAGGATCGGCTGTCAGTAAACACCTGGTGACACGTGCACAGGGTGAAGACCATGGGCATTTGCTCATGTGCTCTCTGGGATTCCTTCTGCCTTTTAGAGTTTTCAGAATGTCTGTGGAGCATGTTTACGCTGGACTGAGGAACTCCTCATCCTTTTGGGATGGAGCTTCTGGTCCCGGAGACATGACCCCTGATTCCCAAGGCCGCATGTCATACCTTCAGAGTAAAGATCATGTTTTCAGCAACAAATGGAACCAGGTTTGTGTGGCTGAGACACAATATGCTGAGACTTCCCACTTCAGCGTGCCTGCAAGAACTCTGGTTTGGTGGGGGAGTCTGCATTCAGCGTCCTGAGAAGGCATATTTGTGTTTGCTCAGCAAAGCCTCCTGCACGGCCAGTGTCCCTGAAGTGGAAGCTGTCATTTCAGCCGTGTTTCCACCCACGGTTGCTCCAGCACCTCTAGCACATCACAGGGGCCAGGAAGGCACATGATGTGATGGGTCAGGTCCCCACAGGAGACCCGCGTGCCTCTCACTGCACGCACCTGCTGGGCCGAGCCTCCTGCTAGGACGGTTTCTCCTTCCACTTTTCTTCTGGAATGTTGGGGCTTTTATATGCATCCAAAAAAAAAAAATAAGTTCTTCCATGGAAAATGATAGGGGGGCTCTTTTGTCTTTCTTTTTTTTAAGTAGGCCTCTTTTAAGTAAGCAGATTCCAGAAATAAAAAAGGCATGGTGGTTAAATGGTCTTTGCCAGAGTTGCCTTTCCATTTTAAATGTGAAACAGATGGCATTATTTTAAGTCCTGAGCTGCTTTCTTCAAGAGGCTTCTTTCCTCTCCACATTCCCCAGGGGCTTGAAAGGTGGGGTGAGTGCTCACTGACCTGCTGGGGCCACCAGAGACCCGCACACACCTCTCCTCCAGGAGGGGGTGAGATCGGGAGGCAGTGAGGTGTCTGTTACGAAGACCTTGAGACTTTTCCATCCTGGAAGACAAAAAAGATGGGGTGGTAGCTCTGAGGCTGTTGGTCAGTTTTCGCCCTAACACATGCTCCCTGATGGACCGGGCCTGCCCATCGTGGTGGAGGGAGGGCCCTGGTCATGTTGGAGGCGCCAGTCAGCCAGCTCCTCCTCAGAGTTGTGGTGGCCAAGTCTCAGCCCCTGTCAATCTGACTCTCTGGGAATACCTCCAGCTGAAGGATGCATCTGATTAAAGGCCGATGGGTGGAATCAGAGCATTAGATGGGGCCCGTGTGGGGACAGACTTGTCCCCTCCATGACATGAAGCTGGGTCAGGGCTTGGCGTCCAGCCCCTGAGGTCTGGATCACCTGCACCTTCATGTAAGGATGTCCGTGTATAGCATTTGTATGTTTACATCACAAATGCATATCTTGTTGTATCAATGCATTTCAAATATTCTTTCGATGTTTCAACCTTCCCATTGACATTTTGGGCTGATAAAACGGCTGGAAGGAAATGCAGGGAGCTGGCCGACTGTGGACATGCAAACTCCAAGTCCCTCGGAATCAGGGAGTCTAAGAATAAGTAACAAATGTCCTGTCGGCAGTGCTCACAATCGTATGTGTAATGTGGGAACCATTGGTAGAAAACCTCAGGAAAGTGTGCACATTTGGTGTCATTTCACATGCATTAGAAGAAGCCTGGGTTTACCAAGATGCACCTGCATTGGGTGACCCCAACCTGTGCTGACAGAGTGGGTGGGCGAGAAAGGGGTCTTGCTCAGGTTGGGACCCTGCATGGGCCTTGAGCGCAGGGCACCAGCTGTGGACGCCCAGAGCAAATATCGAATCACCGAGCCGAAGCAGGTGCCGATGAGGAGCATGCTGTGTATGTGTAAAGGCAAATGTGGTTTAACCCAACAGCGTGTAACGAAACAGCAACATGGATTATGCAAAACACAGCTATAGTCCTGGGAAAGCCTGATTTGTAAGGAACCAAGTGACGTAGGAATACAGAGAAAATGTATTGAATTTTCTTTTTTTTTTTTTAAGATTTTATTTATTTGAAAGAGAGAGCCTGAGCAGTGAGGGAGGGGCAGAGGGAGAAGGGGAAGCAGACTCCCTTTTGAACAGGATCCCAGGACACTGGGATCATGACCTGAGCCAAAGGCTGGCGCTTCACCCACTGAACCACCCAGGCACCCTGAATTTTCCATCCAAGTAAACGTTTTCTTAGAATCCAGGTATGGCAACAGATCCACTGTGCATTTTGCGGCACTGAAATCAGTGTTGGGTTTTAGGTACAACGTCTGCATTATGGCTTACGGGCAGACAGGATGTGGGAAGAGCTACACCATGCTGGGTCCACACTCTAAGGAGGAGCGCATCCCACCGTGGGGACCTCACAGCGACCTCGGAATCATGCCCAGGGCTGCTGGGGAGCTGTTCAGGTACCTGGGGGCAGTGAGTGGACAACCACAGCAGCAGAGGGTGTGGGGGGTGGAGAGTTCCCCTCTGCAGAGACCGCATCTGCTGCTCCTGCGGGAACGTGCTGCAATCCACGGTGCTTCAGTACTCGGGGCCTCAGGACCACAAACACTAGGAATTCTTGTAGCACCCTGATGTTGAAATTCTGTCGTGAAGACAAAACTTCTTTCTTTTTAAAGAGTTGGTTCTTTTTTAAGATTTTATTTATGTATTTTAAGGGGGGAGGGGCCGAGGGGGAAGGAGGGAGAGAGCATCTCTGGCAGACTCCCCACTGAGTGCAGAGTTCAACACGGGGCTCCACCCCATGACCCTGGGGTCATGACCTGAGCCCAAATCAAGAGTCGGATGCTTAGTAAACGGAGCCCCCCAGGCGCCCCAAGACAAAACTTCTTGGAAGAGCTTCCCTAGCAAGACAGTTTTCCCGGTCAAGAGAGGGTGGAGCAGGGAGGTTTTCTGTCCTAGACGGGAAGGGGACAGAGCGAGACCCCGTTGTCTTTTCCTTGCCTCCTGGCCCTGGAAAGAGTAGATGCATCCGGTTTTCTTCTTTGGAGTTAGGGCGAGCTGGCACGTTAAAGATGCTCCTATTCTGGGGAAACATTCCCAGAAGAGACCCCCACCCCCCGCCCTGCATTTTCATGATTTTACCTGGGAAAAAAATCGTGACAAGTTGTCCTTGGCAGCCCAAGTGACGTTCCAGCCTCGAGGCCTGGACGCTGACCATCCCTGCCTTCAGGGGGCCGCTGTGCAAGAGACTCATTTTCATTGTGCACCTGCTTTGTGAGTGCTGTGGGCTCACCCTGTGGCCTATGTGTCACGTCCCCGTGAACTTGGCAGCTCCTTGAGAGGAGAAGGCGCCTCCCAGCAGCAGGTCTCCAGGGGAGCCAGGGCTGTTCCGTGCTGCCGATCGCCCGAGATTCGGTTCCTCTCCGTGTCTCCTTGGCGAGCCTTCCATGTCTTAAAATCAGGGCCAGATAAAGATGCAAGAACCCCCACACAGCCTGATATTTTGGTGCCTCTTCAAATCAACATCCTGTAACTATTGGTGCACATAGTGCCTTTATGATGTTCACTCTTACTACTTCTGAAAAGTACCTGTCGGCACGGGTGAGGCTGTGCTGTGTAACAGCCATTCTGGGAATCTCAGGGGCCGTGAGGCTGATGACAGGCTCCGCTCGGGGCCGCCACTCCCAAGTGTGTGTCTGTGCATTTCCGAGATGCGGGAGAAGGTCAGGGGCCTGCGGCCAGCCCTGCAGACTTCTCCGGGAAGAGCGCGTCAACCCTGCCCTCGTGGCATCTATCTGAGGAGGTGTGTGGCCTCCTTGGCGTAAACCAGCCCAGGGCAGGGCCTCTGTGGACACGGGGCCATCACTCAGGCCACAGAGACCTCCTCTGAGGATGCTGCACTCCATCAAGTATTCGGTTTAGTTTCAGAATTTCAAGGGGCCGGGACTGCAGCGTGAGTCACAGATGTCCTCAGCAGAGCTGACCGGTGCTGGCAGGAGGGCCATCTGTCCTCCTCTGGGGAATCCTCACCAGGCAGCAGCCACGTTGGCCAAGCAGTGGCCACGGCTCGACTACAGCAGAGCTGCAGCAGCTCTTGGCGTTCCTGGGTGTCATGTGGAAAGAGGGACATCGGAGAGACCGGGAGTGGTGGAGAAGGGCCCCCCCAGGAGCACTGCTGTTCCAGGCTCTGGGGTCCTCGCCGGCGCCTGTGGACTGGACTGCTCCTCCAGCCCTGTGCTCACTGCTCCCTTGGCATCGTGAAGATGCCTGCTCTGGACAACATCCATTTCGATGGGTGGAACGTGCGAGGCATTAAGTCACCAACCACGGCTTTTCCTTCCTGCTAAGCCAACTCTCAAGGCCCCGACACAGAGCCGAGGCCCGAGGTCCCGAGTGGGTGAGAATAGCAGGAGCCGAGGTTCACGGGCCTCCTGGCCCCGTCGTCTTGCAGCAGGGCCCCCCGGGAGTGAGCCACGGCCGGGATTGCCGGGGCGGACGTGGCTTGATGGCATCTCTGAGTCTCGGTTCATCATATTCCCGACACAAGCTGCATGCTTGTGGAAAGCCGGGGTGGTAGACAGACCTGCCTTCCCCGTGAGGACCGCAAACAGACTGCACGGGCTCGGAGGTCAGGAAGGAATGGTAGGCATGGGGTCCGCAGCTTCACCAGGTGGAGAAATGGCATCATGGACAGGTGTTCACTCACCTGCTCTCTGACGTGGTCTGTGTTTTGAGTCAGGCATGGATGGTAACTGAACGTGGTCTGGGTGTGCCCGCGCAGCGCAGTGGGCCAGGGCCGTCCAGTCCTTCGGAGGGAGGTCTGCATCTCTGATTTTGGGGGCACGTGGCCTCCCTAGCCTGGAGTCACTGTTTCCAAAAAAACGAGTCTAACAGCCCAGATGCAGAACAGTTTGTGCCACTTTGTTTCCGAAGCCCGAGCAGACACGACCTGGAATGTGTTCAGCTCCGTCTGCAGGTGGTTTGGTGCCCAGGTCAGAATGCAGGCAGTCTGTCTGTCCCGAGCACACGGCCGTAGCACGCTCAGGCATTGTCACCAGGGACGGGTCTTGTGAACCCCTTGCCCTACGGAGTCTGCGGCTTTACAAGAGGAAGGCACTCCCGTGGCGCTTAAATGCAGTGGATGCCACCTGGGGACGCTCTCAGGAGCCGCATCGGCGTCCTTCCTGGCTGATCGCAGCTTCTCAGCAAACGTTCGGAGGCTTTTCCACCTGAAGGCGCAGGACCACAGGGCATGTGCATGACCATTTTCACCTCCGGAAAGCCCAGAATGAACACGGACAGTGAGGAGCCAGGGGGACGCGCCCCCGCCTGCCCTGCCTCGGGGATCAGTACCCCCTTTGTAACCTCGCAGGAGCCTATGTGCATTTTCGTGTAAAATGTACAGCACAGCATAGTGATTGCTTATGCATGCGTCCTGCCTCCTAGACACTGGGCTTCTCCAAGGCGAGGACCGAACGCCACTTTTCAACACCGTTCGCAGCACCTGGGAAACCACTAAATACCTGAGGGACACATGAGTTGACACAGGAGGCACATCAGGTGCTTGATTTCATGGAAGAAAATCTTCAAATTAGCTCCCTGCAATTACGTAGATAAGAACTTTTGAATTTGGGTTTTGTGGTGCCCACGGACACGGCCAGTCACACCAGGGGACGGAGCCACACGCTGAGGTCAGGTTTGCACCTACATGTTCTTGGAACCCCCAGTTCAGCAGACCTAGCTCTTCGCACCCCCCCCCCACCCTTGTTACTGTTCTTACAGGCTCCTCCCGGCACGGAGGGCGAGCCGCATCTGAGCTCTTTGCCCAAAATCATTTTTACTGGAGAAGTTATTTTTTTTCTTTCATTTTAGTCTTTCTTGTTTTCTTGACTGTATCATCAGAGGATGTTAACTGCTCATTATATTCTTGGCTCCTTGTAGCTCCTTAGGAAAAACGCAATCCAGCCGTGCTTGTGCAAGACGCACGCAGGCCACAGATCCAGACTTCCCTTGTGGACGAGGAAGCACCGTAGTCAGAGTCAGAGTGGTCTCACTGTGCACGTGTCAGAGAAGCGACGTCCCCAGAAGACAGAGGCGGCCGCAGTGGGCCGTGTGGGGAGTTTTGTGGAAAGGCCCCAGGAGGGACGTGGGCGGGGAGGAGCCGGGCTGGCAGTCACTCTTCCCCTGCTTGGGGTTTTGGGGTTTCTCTAGGCGGGTAGTATCCGTATTTTTAAACCTCTCTGCAGTCAGCACATAGCACTTGACAAGATGAAACACGAGATGTGCAGTTGTCTCTGGAGCCCGGGTGGGGTGTCAGGAGGTCACAGGCTGGGCTCGTCCAGAGGCCTGGGTGCATGGGGCTGGGTCCAGAAGTCTGTGTTCAGCCTTCGCCAGAGCAAAGTGAACCCTGGTCCCAGAAAGGTGCAACAGCCCTCCTGTCCCCGCAGCTCGCTTTGGGCTCGTGCGAAGCCGTGACACCCGGGCAAAGGGCTTTCTGAATGGGGGCCGTGGAGTTTCCCTGCTTCCTTCTCGTGTGCTTGCAATCTTGGGCACCCGTGACCGAAATCATTGATTTAGATACAGCTCAGGTGCAGCAGCTCTTCCCAGGACGGTTGCTCGCCTTGCAGTGCAGCCCCCCACCCCTGCTCCGTTGGTAAGACGCGGCCCTGCACTCCCGGGCTGGGGTCTCGCGGAGCCTCATCAGGACTCTGATCCTCTCCCTGTGACAGTGCTTGTCTTACAGCTTCCTCCTGGGGCTAGCCAAGCGCAGACCACAGCTGAGTCCCTCGTGTCCTGCCCCCCCTCGTGTTCCCCACCAGGCTCATTGCAGAAAACCCATCGAGGCGCCTGCAGGTTGACCTGTCCATAGTGGAAGTCTATAATAACAACATTTTTGACCTTCTGGCCAAAGCGTGTGGCATGGAGACGTCTGGGCGCAGGCGTGAGGCCCTGACAACCAAGGATGCGAGGCGGGAGGTCCCTCTGCTGACCCGAGAGTGAGTATCCCCCCCAACCCCAGCACCTTCCCGGGACCCCAGCCGCATCACGGGATCTGCATGTTTGTCTCTGAGGTGGCTCACCCTGTTCTCCTGCTTAAGACGTGCTGTGTATTTTTCAATTTGCTGGAGAAATTATCTTTTTAAAACCACACTTAAAACAGATGAACAAATCAACCTTTTAAAATATCTTGATGGAAAATGCATGGCACAGGCCCTGTATTTGAGACCAGGGGGCGAGCCTGGAGACGTGGACGGACGTCCTCGGTGCCACCTGCACGTCTCAATATTTTATAGAAGACGGTAATTATTTGTCCTGTGAAAAAGCAAGAAGTCCCCTCATGTTGATTAGACAGGTAGGCTCCTCACAGCTGCGTGCTCCCTGGACCTGCGGCCGTGCATCCGGTGAGCTCACAGGCGGCAGGGAGCCGTCTCCCCGTGTTGACCAGGAGGAGGGCAGTGAGCCTGTGCTGGGGTCTCAGAGGCAGTAAGGGGGAGGGGCTGCAGCTGTTTCTCGCATCTGGAAAAATCCTACGGGGGGATGATGCATCGAGCCATGAGTCTGCACCAGGCAACCAGAACTTTCAGCTTTTGACTAATAAGACACGGAACAAAGTAGGTCCTGCCAAAGGCAACGTCTGACTAGCTGTCATCCCTCACCAACTGAAGTAGGGAGAAGGGTTTTATTGGGGTCCATGGGGACATGCAACAGAAGACTGGGTGGTAAAAAGATCTGAGACCCTTGATTATTCTAGATTAAGCAATTCGTGATACGTCGGTCGTCCAGGCCTCAAAGAAAGGAAGGCGTTTGATGTTATTATGTTTTGTTTTGTCTAATATGTGCTTCAGTCTGCTTTCTTACAGTGGGGGCCCTGGTGCATGTGCAGGGTGGAGGGCGTCCGTCACCGCTGCCGTGGCCGAGCTCCCCATCCTGCATGCTCTCCTCCAGGCCCGTCCACAGCGCGGAGGACTTCGTGGCACTCGCTGCCGGAAGCCTGCGGCTCAGGGCGGAGCTGGCCACCCTCGTGCACGCCCGTTCCTCCAGATCCCACCTGATAATAACGGCCACTCTCACCACGGGTCCCGCTGCCTGCGGCAGCCCCGGTAAGTGGCCACGCGCACCGGTCGGGCATGGAATGGGAATCCTCGCAGCGGGGAGAGAATCCGTGCACCCGCAGGATCTGCGGCGTCGGAGGAGGCCGAGGGCGGGAACTGCAAACCCGCCTCTGGGGGATCTGGAGCCGGGCTGCGGTGGAAGGGGACTTCTGAGAGGGAGGGGAAGGCTTTGTTAACACGGGGAGGCCGGGCATCTTCGTACCTGGGAATATGATGCCTGCGCCACGAGGGGCACAGTGAGTGTGGTTTGGGTTTGCAAAGTCACCGGGCAGCATATAAAATGGTGCCAAGTATTTAAGAAAAGTAAGGACGTGTGGCAAGGTCTGTGCGTCCTGGTCAGTGACGACTGGGCCAGTGCACACGGGGTCGCCTGCATGGCTTGAGAAGCACGGGGGCGCCGCCCAGCCAACAGACCCCCCAGGGGGCGGGGGGAGGGATGATGGACCCGAGGACCCCAATTTCTGCAGGCTCCAGTGCCAGAGCCCACTGGCAGAGGGTGGAGGGTCCAGGGCCCCCCTTCACACAGAGGGAACCAATGCCTGGTCCTGGTGGGCTGCCACTGGAGAGGCCACACCTCACTCAGGTTGCAGGCCAGCGTGGATGGCGCCCTCCCAACCCTGTGGCCACCAAGGAAGGGGGAGGCACGACCATCCAGAGATTACTGACCGCACCCCCCCACCCCCGAACTCAGCCCGACTCGCCCCAGGCCAGGGCGCCTGCAGGGAGGGCTGGGCCCCGCATGGACGCGTGCACACCAGCAGTTCAGGGAGCTCACGGTCACATGTGGGAAGGCAGTGAGACCAGAGCGGTTTCTATGTTGTTTTTTATTTTGGTAATTTTTTATGCTTTCCACAATGAGTATATACCGTTTAGGTTTAAAATAATCTCCTTAAGAAGTCTGTTTGGGAAGAATGCACGATGACATTGATGCACACGCGCGATGAAGAAGCGTTCTGTCAGGGTTTCCTTGGGGGCTCGGGGGCTCGGAAACACACTGTGGAATGACCTCCGTAAGGGCCTGTCAGGTTCCCGTCATTACTGAACGTGTCTGGGAACATCCTTCAGCGTCCTGGGGACCAAGTAGGCATCAGCCTCACCTTCGAGGGCAGTGCACTGCCCTCCGCCCGTCCCCCTCCTGCGGGCGGCCCTGCCCTGTCTGGGGTCTATGGGTCGGAGGAAGCACCCTCTGGTGCGTGGGCCCTTGGGGTGAGGGCTGGTCCTTCAGCCGTGGGAAGCTGAGGGAGGCATCCTGGACGTCATTCCCGGGTATGTGTCATCCCCTTGCAGCTGACCAGCAGGCAGAGGGACCACCGCTGGAGGGGCAGCCGGCCTCAGGGAGCAGGGGGGGCGCCTCCTGTGGCAGAGCCTCGGCCGGGTCCCTGGGGGCCCAGCAGCCCATGGAGCAGGTGCATGCCAAGCTGCAGCTCGTGGACCTGGCGGGCAGCGAGTGCGCAGGTGAGCCCAGAGCAGGGGCTCTCTCTGGGGCGCGCGGGGACGTGGGGGTGTGTGAGCCAGCTGCCCAGGGTCCAGTCGTCTTGCACCTGCTCCTCCCCGGGGGCAGCTGTGCATCCCAACATGGTACCCTTCTCCATGGCTCGGCTGTGGGTCAGCCCATCCCCAGGCGAGGCCATGTGGGAGGAGGATGCTGATGGGACGGAGGGTCTCCCCATCCCGTGCTCCCCTCCTGAGGAGCGCCAGTTTTGCTTTTCCTGGTTCATTCCTTGACGTAGCCAGAATATTCATTGCACATCCTCACCATGTGGCTGGGTGTTCGCGCGTTCCTAGGTGTGTCCGGCGTGACAGGATCGGCCCTCAGGGAGACTTCGTTCATAAACCGGAGCCTGGCGGCCCTCGCGGATGTCCTGGGGGCCCTGTCGGAGCGCAGAGGCCACATCCCGTACCGCAACAGCCAGCTCACCCACTTTCTCCAGGACGTTCTGGGTAACGTGAGCCCCCCACCCCTGGGAGGCCCCAGACCACAGGACCCCCAGCTCGTGTCACCCCCCCCCCGCCCCCTGCCCCAGGGCGCACTCACTCCCGTGGGGGGCTCGCTCCTCCTGGCCATACCTCCCTGGGGACCTCCTGGCTCCCCAGGTCACTGTGGTCCCTCCCACAGTGTGTCCAGAGTGTTTTCTCCTGTTACCCTGCACCAGGCTGGCTTGTTTGCAGCGGCCTGGTGAGCCCTCCAGGTTGGTTCTCGGCTCCCAGCTGGGCAGCCTCCATGTCCTGTGTCCCACCCTGTTGGGCATGTCATGGGCGTCTGGGCTGGGGGGACGCTGCCGAGCCCACGTGGGCACACGGCAGCGTGCTGGGCTCCCTAGGCCCCGTCCCCTTGCTCGTGCCACACACCGGTTGCAGGTGCCAGAAACCCAGGCTGAGTTGCCCACGGGGACAGGATGGGGGGATTAGGCTGCAGCCCGTCCTGTGGAATGTTCTAGGGCTTTCTACGTGGCGTCTCCTCTTCCTCACTGCAGACAGACTTTGCACAGGATGAGGCAGGGCTGGTCCAGGGCTCACGTTATCCCTCTGCTGCTACAAGGGCCCCGGCGCCTCAGGCCCTGCGGAGCGTGGCCGGGCCCCTGCCGTGGCCTTCATGCCGGCGCTGCTGGCCTTCCCGTCCCTCCTCAGCTCTCCGTCTCTCTCCCCTCCACGCTGCTCAGGCCTCCCTGTGGTCCTATAGGCAGTGGCTGGGGGCCCAGGGGGCTCTCCCCCACCCTGCAGGGCAGGGCCCCGCCTGCACCACCGGGACAGGCTCCGCCCCACTGTGGCCTGCACCCAGGCCCTCACCCTGGCCTCTGGCGCACCGACTCCCCGCGGGCTCCACGGCAGCTTAGCGATGCGGGGTTTTTCTTGGGATTCTCTTCACCTGCGGTTGCTTCTTATTTCAAAGGAGGCGATGCAAAGCTCCTGGTGATGCTGTGCGTATCCCCCTGCCGGAAGCATGTGGCAGAAACGCTGCGGTGTCTGGGGTTTGGGGCCCGGGCGAGGCAAGTCCAGCGAGGCCAAGCAAATGGGGGCAGTCTGGCCCCCCGAAAACCCAGGTGAAGGAGGATGGTGGTCGGGTCGCATGTGCTAACGGGCTCCACGCCCTGTCGTTGCTTGACCACGTAGGTGCCCTGCAATAAGCTCATTTATGTTCAACTTCATAAACCTGTTGTCTTCCAAGGAAACAGTGACGCGCTGACCCGCCACCCAGGAGCAGGAGACTCCCCGGGAGAAGCAGGCGCGGCCGAGGAGCCCCCGGGGGACGGGGACTTGGGGGCTGACGCCCCTGGGGTGGGCGCTCTCGGCCGAGCAGAGGAGCTGCGCTGTGTGCGGCCGGCAGGGGAGGTGAGGAGGTGAGAAGACCAGACGAGGCTCTGGGGTCAGCACCCACATTCCGGAACCACAGCCTGGGGCTCTCCTGGCGGCCGAGTGACCCGACAGATTCCTTAGCCCGTTAAGCCCGGTTCCCGCCTGCAAGATGCCGAGTGTGCACACACACCCCGAAGAGCAGATGTTCTCGGTCATGATTCCTCCTCATCATGACCCGCCGTCCCGGGCCGACGTCCCAGAGCTGGTTGTGACGCGTGACACATGGCAGGGCCACAGGGGGCGTGGGACCCAGGGGCCCCGGGAACTTGGACATACGATGAACACCCTCCTTGACCATGGGCCGCCCGCTGAGAAGCCCGAGTGTCGCGGTCGTCTGGTTGGAGCCGTTTAGTGACGGGCCCCAGCCGGGGCATCACGGGCCACGAAGCCCCTGAGCCTGCGGGCCACTGGCCACCGAGCCCTGGCTGTGTGCCGGCTGCATGGCTCAGAGGTGACGCTCAGACGCCGGTCCCGGTCCCGTTGTGTTTCCGCGGCCCGAGTGGCCCAAGTGTGGGGAAGCTCTGTTCAGACCTCAGCCTGTCTTACGAGAGACTGAACATAATGTCATAATGTATTTTCTCGTAATTAGCACAAAGCCTGCAAGCCCGCTCCAGGGACGAGTGCAGTGCCGTGAGGAGGGAGGTGCATGGACCCGCCCCTGCCTCAGTCTCCCCAGCACGGGGGTGGGCAGCGCGTCCAGGGCCTCGGCTACTCGCTGGCCTTTCCGTTCCTGAGCCCAGTGTCCGCCCGGCCGTGGGCTCGCGTGGCAGGGACGGGGCTGGACGCCCAGGCAGCCTGCCAGCGGGGCCCATGCTGAGCTGACAGGGTTGCCCACCCCGCGGGAGGTGGGCTCCACAGACGGCGGGGCCTGGCGGTGACCGGGAGGGGGCAGATGGACCGGCTCCTCGAGGACAGATGGCCACAAGTGTTTGTGCAGCCTCATGAGCCTGACGGGACGCGGTGTTCGATCCTGACTCAGGACAAGTCCGTCTTGGGGATCCTGACGTGGGAGACGCCCCACCTGCGGAGTGGGGTGATGGTCACAGAAACGGTCCCCCGAGACCTCGAGGGAAGCAGAGCCGGGCAGTTTTTGCCTGCAAGGGCCTGAGGGGTGTTAGAGGTGGGGAGGGGGGTCCCATCACCCCAGGATCCCTGGGGCACCTGGCACCCACCGGCTCCGAGACACCCTGTGGCTCAAGGAGATCCCAACGTCTGCGAGGGCGGCCCGGGGGCGGGTCCCTCCATCCCAGGTGTGCTGGGCAGGGACCACACCGGGCCCTGGAGAGAGGTGAAGCGGGTCGCCGGCCACTCGCGGGCGCGGCGGGAGGCCAGCCGCTGTGGCAGGTGTGGCCCGCTGCCCGAGAGAGGCCTTTCTGCCCTGTGCGAGGCCGCCTCTGCCCCAGCGTCCTCCCTGCAGCCCGGCAACCTGTGCCACCTCAGGATGGGCCCCTGAGCCGGGCGCTGGCCTCTCCAAGCGGAGGCAGTGGCAGGCCTCCCTGTGTGAGCCTCACGGCGCGAACCCTGACAGCGGGGCTGGCGCATCGGGGGCAGGCTCGCCGCCTGGATTCGCACTCAGGGCCTCTGTGAGCACGAGGCCGTGGCCGTGGGAGCGCCCAGGCCTCAGGGTGCCAGCGCGCAGCCTCGGGAGCTGTTCCGAGTTGGCGCGATAACCACGTGAGCCTCCAGCCTCGACTGGCGTGTTTGGCAGATGCAGAAAACACTTCATCTGTGGAGGAAGCGGCAACGGAGCCTGGCCTCCGGTGGGTGTCCCTGTGGGGGTGCCGGAGGGCGGCCCCGGGCCTTGCAGCCGCCCCCTGCCCCTGCGCACAGCCTGCCTCTGTCCCCATCACCCAGTCACCCCTCGGGGCCTGTGTCCCAGAGGGGAGGGCCCGGTGCGTAGGAGGGAGGGTGCCTGGGGGGCGTGGGGTCACCCCGAAACCCAGAGCCAGGGCAGGAATGGACCTGCCCCAGCCTGCCCTCCCCCGCACCCTGGCCTCCCACATGGGAGGTGTGCGGTCGAGACCCTGTTCCACAGGCCAGGGCCCCGGCACCACTGTCCCCCTGACACATCTGGTACGGGAGGGCCGAGGGGAGGCAAACCGTGTGTCCTCAGGGGCCGGCAGGTTGTTGCCTCGGGTCACCTGTTGCCACTGCAGGGAATTGGCCTCCCAGCCCCGCCGCTATAGTCCCAGGCTGGCAGCTCCCCCTGTACCGCCACGTCCCCCTGCCCATCCTGCCCTGGGGACGGAGCAGCCTGACCTTCCCCAGCCACAGTCCAAGCATGGATCCACACACAGGGACCCCCACGCCTTCAGGGCTTGTGCCCCCAATCCCTGGGCCTTGCTCACCGGGCAGCTCTCTCCCCGGGCTTGGTGCCCCCACCCCACCCCAAGGGAGTCTGCACACGGGGGCCCGTGTTGGGGGGAAGCCACGTCCCCCCTCGGTGCATATTTCAGTTTGGGCGGGGGAGGCCTGAGCCCGGGGCCCTGAGCCATGTCTGTGGGCAGGGAGGGGAGTCAGCGCGTGGGGGGGCAGTCTGCGGCACCCCGTGTCTGGGAACCCCCAGCTGCTGGGTGAGGAAAAGGCCGGGCTCTGAGGCCAGAACCTGCACTGCTGGGGGGTCTCCTGTGGGAATCCCGGTGCTATTAGCTGTGAGCAAAGTCCTTCGATGACGTAGAAAAGCATCCAGTCAGAACTGCTAGGACGTGGCAAAGAGCATAAGCCCGAGGCCCCAAGATGCCACCCGCATTTCCCAGAGGCTCTCGGGAGACCCCAGTGGGTCAGCTTGGTGGAAGGAGCCCGCTGCCTTCCCATGCGGAGGTGGTTGGGGTCCCTGTGAGGGTGATCGGGGAAGGAGAGGACTGGGGGCTGGGAGGGTCGGAGGGGGCTGGAGGGGTTGGGGGGCCACAGGCCTGCCCCCGCTGTCCCCAGACCCTGAAGGCCCCTGCTGTCCCTGCCCGAGGGAGACAGTTACCCATGAACCCCACAGACACCAAACCTGACCTACACACCTCTGACTGCTTCCCCCTGGCTGGGTCCCGGCGGGGGCGCCCAGAGGCTCCGGCTCCGTCCACGACCCTTCCACAAGGGGCAATGGAACCAGTCCTTACTGGGGAGTCCGTGGGTCCTAGTCACTTAGGGTTAAGATCGTCTTCATTTTGTACATTTTAGAAAACCTGGCAGCCATGAGCTGATGGGGCCCCAGGCCTAACAGTGACGGGGCTCACGGTCCCCCTGCTGCTGGGTAGACCTGAGAAGGCCGGACTCCTGGGAGCCCCCGGTCCCCCGGATGGTCCTCAGTCCACCTGCGCTGCTCCTCGGCTCTGGGCCGGTCGGCCATGGACGGGGTTGGCTCCTCTGGAGGAGGTTGGGCTAGGTGACCCCGGGGCCACAGGGCAGAGTTCCCCTGGATGCATGATGGCAATGGGCTGTGGGTCCCCCGAGGGTGACAGGCCCCGGGCACTGAGCAGCCCACCCAAAGTGCCACAGCAGGGCTCCAGCCTGTGCTTCACCCCAGGGTAGGCAGGGTCACAAGGCCGGGCGGGGGGCCCAGGATCCGCATCAAACAAGCCCTCGAGGATTTCTGTGAATGTAGACCTGCTAACCTGACCTCTGACCTCCGGGTGGGCATCCTTCCCAGCCCCGATGGCAGTAGTGCAGGGAGGCACGTGGGGGCTTTGCTCTGTGGCCCTGCCCGCTGCACCCCTGGGGGCCACACGCCCCTCCTCGCAGGGGTCACCCATGGTCTTGGGCGCACCAGCCCTGACCTGCCTCTTCTCACAAACCATCCAGCCCGTTTTCTGGGAAGATACCTGTTTTGCCTGAAAGACGAAACCCTAATCTTACCCGAAAGGAGAAGCTGGTGCTTCTGACTTGGCTCTCCAGCCCCTCCTGCCTCTGCTCTTTCTGGGTGGGCAGGACCGGGGAGGGCTGGAGACCACTGCCCCGGCCCCCTCGTGGCCTCTAATTGTGCTCCCCGCTCACCCCAGCAGCCAGATGACCCAGTGGACAACAGACACTTGGCATCGTTTTCCTCGTCTACCATGAGGCCTGGAGGAAGGACAGAAATAGGCGCCCCTGCCAGGCTCTAGTGGTTTCTCGGGGTCAGCCAGCGGTCCCTGCGGCCCATCTGCCAAGGACACAGGGCACTGGTCCTGGCCTCCCTCCTCCTCCGGGCCTGGCCACCCTCAAGTCGCAGATGGCTGGGGTCAGGGTGATGGGAGACGGAGCCTGGACGAGCCTGGCTTGTACCCAGAGTAGCTGGTCAGAAGCCACATGGCCCCGATGTGCCCAGGCCTGCCTCCCGCAGGTGCAGGTGCGACAGCCGGGCCTGGGGCCTGGGGCGCGGGGGCAGCAAGGGGGGGGTGGGGGGCACCCTTCTGCGGCGGATCTCCTGCGCCCTCTGGTGGCAGCTGGGGACAGATGCAGCGACCCCCCAGGGCCTTCCTCCAAGCCCTGCCCCTCACTGCGTCCCTGCGCCTTGGTGCCTTGGCCTGTGCAGGGCCTGGCACCCACAGCTGGCTGCCACCCTGACCGGCGGCTCCTCGGGTGTGGCAAATCAGTCTGGGGGCTGAGCTCCTGTACCCTCACTTCTTTGAAGGAAAATGATCCCCATAGACGCAGCTCAGAGCAGACTCAACCCCTTTGTAGCTCTGGGGACTGGTCCTGGTGTGATTTTGGAGACTCCTGGGAGAGCCGCAGCCCCGACCTCACGCCGTCCTGCTCGGGGGCCCCTCCCTCGGCTACTTGCTCTTGGGGCCACCAGGCTGGGTGACCTCCGGGGCCTGGGGCCTGGGTGCTTCCTACACAGGGGCCAGACGGGCAGCCCGGGAGGCCGCCCGCCACCCCTGCCCCTGGCAGGCACCCCGCTCTGCTGGCACCTGCCCAGGGCGGACACTTGACGTGTGTCTGGTGAGGGGGACTGGGTGACCGCAGCGACCCCTGGCAACCCCCAGGCCCGTCCCCGTTCAGGCTGCAGATGAAGGAGGCCAGAGCAGCCTTCTCTCCAAGGCACAAATTTGGTAACTCTGAGCGCCCCGGGGCAGGAGAGGTCCCCGTGGCCCCCCATCCGGGGAGTGCTTGGACACAGCGCATGTTCACCAGAGCAGCCCCCTGCGGCGGCGAACGCTCCCAGCTTGGTCCTCTACCAGTGTGACGTGGCCGCCCGGTCTCCCGGCCGCCCCAGCGCAGGCCGGTGCACATGCGTGTGAAGGCGTGGGTTCAGTCCTTTATTACACGTGCCCAGTGTGCACACACACAAGATCACCTTTCACAGAAAGGATCAAAAGCCCAGCCTGGGGGGCATCAACCTCACTGTGCAAGTGTGCATGCACCGCCCCCCCCAGCCATGTGCATGCACGCACATGCACACACTGGCTCCAGCTCCACCCTCCGTCTGAGCTCCCGTGCCGCTGCGGCCGCCCCAGCACGAGCACCAGAGACGGGGAGACGTCACGGGCGCAGGGCTGTGTGGCAGTGGGCTCACCATCGCCCGCTGAGCGCTCAGGGTCTCCAGACAGGCAGGAGCCGGTCCCTCCAGGTCAAGGGGACGGCAGGTGTGCGGGTGCGGATCTTGGGTAGGGGGGAGCCCAGAGGGGCCCCAGGTCAAACGAGCCGACCCGCGCCCTGAACCCCACTAGGAGCCTCCGGCTCGGGGCTGGTTATTACCCGTCTCACATCCCTGCTCTCAGGGCTTCCGGAAGGGTTGCAAGGCCCCCCTGGGGCCGGGAGGCAGGCAAGACAGTCCCTGCTTTTCCTCCCGGGGCGTGCAGTCCCTCCACTGGCGGAGGCCACCTGCAAGCCGCGCAGCCAGCCTGCCTTTGAAAGGAAGGCACAACTATGCAAATCCTCCCAGCGTGGGGTGGCTGTCGCCATGCCCCCCACCCACGTGGGCCAACCCACGCTGGGGCTGCGGCTGCGGCTGCGGCCCTGCACCTGCCATCCCGTGCTGCTTGCTCACGGGCTCTCGATGCACCCACGGCACAGAGAAGGTCAGCTGTCCCACACTTTCCCAGGAATCGCTGCCGCAGGAGCTGTGAACCTGCCAACCAGAGTCGTGGCGAAGCTGGGAACACAGTCCCAACCCCAGCCCTGGAGCGTGGGTCGGGTGCAGAGGGTGGCGGGGGGCTGGTCCCCACTCTGCCCCATCTCACCTGGAGTCTCGGACCCCTAGAGGGTACCCAGCACTGTCCCAGGGCAGGAGCCCTGGCCGCCCCTGTGGGCAGATCACCGCTGCCGTGTGACTTGTGATGGGAGAGGACCAGGACACCGGGCTCTGTCTTGGGGCCGAGGGAGGAGGATTCAGAATCGAGATGATGGCTTCGCTGGTTGACCAGCTGTCTGTCTGGCTTTGTGAGCTCCCCAGGGACCAGGTGTCCAGGTGACCCTGCAGCTTCGGGCATGGTGCCTCCCGGGATGTCCATGTCATGTGGGTGGTGGACAGGGGTCATCCACCAGCCAGGCCTGGGGTGACAGCCGGGACCACACCTCACAGAGGGATTGCAAACACTGGGCTAGCGGAAGCCTGTGGCCAGTGCAATGACAGGTGACTGTGGCCTTGGGTCAAAGACTCCCACAGGGCTGTGCGCGTGGTCAGTGCAGAGGGAACCTGCGGGGTCTTGCCACCGTGTGGGCACGGCTACCACGTCCTCCTTCCCAGAATAGATGGGGAAGGGCTACCCGAGGGGCCAGCCCCCACTCGCCTGGAGACCGCATGGTCGGACCCTGACTTCCACCTCCTGGTCACACGGATGGATGGAGCTTGGACCCGTCATGGCTGGCACGAGAGTGGAACCCTCCAGGTCCCCTCCAGGCCTGACGTCAGAGCCAGCTCCACACCACTGACAGGTGATCATACAGGAGGGGGGGCAGGGAGGCGAGGGGAGGGCCTCAGTCAACCAGGGTGTGGCCAGAGCCTCCAGCGCAGGAGGGGGTGAGGGCCAGAGGCTGTCCTGAGGTGGGAGGAGGTGTGGGCCAAGCCCACTGGGCGGATGCAGCTGTGCTGTGTAGACAGAGCCCCACGTGGACAGGACTTGCCACATGGACAAGCCATGTGTGTAGACAGAGCCCCGATTGGACAAGCCGTGCCTCGTGGATGCAGCTGTGCCACGTGGACAAGCTGTGCAGTGTGGGTGAGGCCCAAGGGCGCAGAGCCCCATCTCTAGCGTCTACACCACAAACTCCTCCAGGAGCTGGTCCTCCCTGCACAGGACCAGGTAGAGGCTGTTGGTGGACCTGCAGGTTCCCGGCGGTGCGTGGTCCAGGCTGTGGTGGGGTGGCTCTGCCTCTGGCATCTGTAGGGGGACAGTGCGAGTGCGTTCTGCTTCCCGCCCTGCCTCCTCATCTTTGGCCACGGCTCCAAGTCTGTCCTCCCTGCACCCACACCCCCTCTGTCCCCGCCCCCAGATCCCTCACTGCACCCTGCTGGGCCCACTGTCTGCACAGCCAGCCTTCTCCTGTCCCGAGTGCCCGCCACGGGTGCAAGCTCTGTGGGCAGGAGAGGGGCACGGGCCAGGACGGCTCAGGCAGGGAGCGGCTCCTTCTGCACCGGCTCCTCCCTCTCCTCCCCTGTCCTGGGTCCCCCCTGGGGCCCTACGCAGATCCCGCTCCTGTCGGACTTGGTTACTATTTGAATGATTTTAGGGATGAGACCTGGAAGCGTCCTCGGAAGTCAAGGAGAGCCTCCTGCCTCTATCTCCTGTGTGAGGAAGCCTGTCCAGTGCCCGGGCTCTGAGGCGGCCGCCTGGGGTGGGGGGTCCTGTCCAGGTGGGGGTCCAGCTCGCACCCACCACACCGAACTACTGCAGCCACTTCGCATCCCACAGGGCGAGCTCACCACTGCAGAGGGGCTGAGCGCGCTGGCGATGCAGGCTGTCTCATCGCCCTTTGGGGGGCATGTCCTATCCACTGTCTCTGCCAAAGGACCCCCAGCTGCACAGGGCACCGACCCTGCCCAAGGCACCGGCTTCTCTCTCTATCCCTGGGAAGTCACATCACAGCCTTATGTTCTCTCTGTCCAGGGCACCACCCCCAGGTCTGCTCCAAGCAAGGTGGGGAACCCTCAGCCCAAACCATTGGTGTCGGTCTCTCCTCTGCCCCAGGGGGGCCTGGAGCAGCCCCTGGAGTGCTCACTACCTGGGGTGGGGGGTGGACTCTGCCACCCACTGAGCACTCAGCCCAGGAAGGTGGAGACCTCAGGGGGCCAGTCCCTGCCTGCCTTGTTCCCCGGAAGCTCCCCCACCGCCTGACTACAGGTCCAGGGGGCTCCACCTGGGGACCTCCGGTGGGCCTGGACGGGCCAGGAGAGCAGGTGCCGGAGCCAGCCTGGGGCTGCCTGGCCTGGGGCTCCCACGGGAACATACCTGGTACAGGGCCTCCGCACACCTGCCCCTCATCCTGATCAGTGGGACCTGCACGACTGCCGAGGGCTCCCGGCCAGAGGCTGTGAGACAGGAGGAGGCGTGAGCAGAGCCGGGATGAGCCCCCGCCACCCAGCTTCTCCCCTGGGGACCCTCACTCTGACTTGGGACTGGGCCTCCATGCACCCTCCCTCCAGGGCCCTTGACCTGCAGCGTGGTGGTGGGGAGGTCGGCGGCAGTCACACCCTGGTCACCCGTGCTCCCCACTGACATGTCTGAGCCTCCTTGAACATGCGGGCCACACTCTGGACCACCTGGCTCCTCCTCGCCCACGGAAGCCGCAGCCCCAGCACAGGACGCCCACCTTCGGGGCCCCCATGGGACTAGCCCTGCAGGGTCCCTCTGCCGTAAGCCTTGCAAGGGTCCGGGCCCTCCCCACCCCCATCCCGTGGCTGGCACCACCCCATCCTTCCTCACTGGCACCAGGGCTGTTTGGTTGACCAAACGCCCCGATGTCCAGTCGCAGCGCGCTCTTACTGGGCAAGCTCCGTATCATTATTATCGTTCACGTTGGATTGCAGACCACGAGCTTGGACAGAAACAGATGGAAGCCCCGTGGTCCTTTACCACCTGCCCCTGGCTGGCCCTGGTGTCCCGAGGTGACCCTGGGTGACCCTGGGAAGCCCTGGGTGGCCCTAGTGGCTGGGACCTGCAGCTGGTCCCCACGAATGCCCCTTGCAGCCGAGGGTGCTGCGGATGGTCAGGGAACAGCAGAGCCAGTGGGACCTTCCTGAGGTGCCGGGGAAGGCGCTCCAGGGCCCCCCATGCCCAGACCGCCCCAGAAGCACCCCTGAGGGCTGAGCGGAACAGACATTGGGTCCTACAACTCCTGGGGGCTTCTCATCTTATGATTTCACTGATCCGTGTGGCTGCAGAATAATCTGGGTGACACTCCCTGATGGCCAGATGATGAACGAGGGGCCCCGAGGAGCCTCTTGTGCCCAGCTGCAGAGAAGGCTGCAGGACCCCCATCACGCTGCACCCCACAGGGGCCCTGCCGTCCCGTCTGACCCCTGACCCCAAGGCCCACCTCATGGCAGGGGAAGGGCGAAGGAGTTGCAGGGAAATCCCAGTCACCGCAGCCTCTCTGGGGACGGTCTGTGCTCATCGCCCTGGTGCCCACAGCAATGGCCCTGCCAGGGGCCGGCTGGGGCACACTCACCGTCTCCCCGGGCCCGGCCGTCCCCCTCTGCCCAGCCTCTGCTGCCAGCCTCCGTGCCGTGGCCGCTCCGGCTGGAGCTGGAGCCGCAGGGTGGCATCTCCACGTAGAGGGCCTCAGCACCCCCTGGGGGCTCGTCCACTGCCATCTCCCCGGCCTCTCTGACGCCTGATGTGTGGGAGCTGCTGCCGCTGTCAGCTGACCCAAGGGAGAGGCGGTGGGGGACGTGCTGGCTGCTGCCCCCGCTGCCCAGGGAGCCCCTGCTGCTTGGGTCCGGGTCCAGGTCCAGGTTCAGCTCCAGCGTGTCGCTGATGTAGGACTCGCGATAGCGCTCCTTCTCTGTGAGGGGACAGGACCGACAGTCCCTGTCGCTTACACCCCGACAGTAGGTATAAGCGCCTTCCTGGAGCCGCAGGCTGCCAACAGTGGCCGCCCACCGCCAGCTGGCGCTGAGGCCCAGGAGGCACAACATGAGGGGTTTGTGGCCCTGGGTACCCCCGTCACAGCCCAGGCTGCCCAGGTGGCATCTGTCACCCTCAGCCAGTAAGCTCCTGATACGTGCCCCTTGTGATAGTTTCCCAAGGGCTCTTGCGTGGCTCTCAGCTCGAGGGACCCCGAAGCCGTGCCTGCACGCGAGCAGCATGGTCACATAGAGGCACGCCGCTGCCCACACAGCCACGGACCCAGGAACCACCCAGCCCCTTGAGAGCTCTGACCCAGAATCCAGTAGGTCTCTAGGCCGCATCTTTAGAACTGCGCCCCGGGAGGAGTGGAGCTGCCTCCTCCCCCTCGAGGGGACACAGGAGCCAAGAGGCCACGCCCCACAATGGGACCAGTGGAGGTGCCACCAGCCGCCGTGCCCTGTGCCCGGCGCAGGCGAACCCCGGTGCCCGGAGGGTCGGGAGCGCGGGTGGATGGTGCGCACCTTCGGCCTCCTCCCTCTGCCGTAGCCTCTGCAGCGCGGGCCGCAGGCTGAGGTGGAGCTGGTGGCTGGCGCTGAGCAGCTGCAGCAGGTGGCGCGAGCGCCAGGCGCAGCCCGTGTAGTACACCAGCTTCCGCGCTGACGGCAGCCCGTCCAGCCGCATCTCGAACTTCTTCCCCTGGACAGAGGAGACCAGATGTAACTGCGGGGAAACCACGTGACAACAGGACAGAAGTGTCTGAAGCAGCGGCCCCGACCCCAAACTAGGAAGCCAGCCGGTGCGCAGGCGGGAGGTTAGGGGCACGAGTCTAAGGTGGACACCGCCCTCAGCCTTGGCCAACCTGGGGGCTGACCGCATTGCAGGACGGGGCACCAGGTTTCGCTTCGCCGTCCGGAGCAAGGGTCCAGGGCCAGCGTCTGCCTGGGGCCTCACTGTCCTTGCGCTCAGCCCAAGTGCCAGGCCCGGCCGGGGAGGCCTCGTGAGGCCAGGACACACAGCGGGGGCACGTGGAGGCTGTCACCCCAGAGGTGCGTTTCTATGGCTGACTTCTCACTTCCCTTGAGGGAGCCCAAAGGTCGCCGGGATCAGAAGGCGAAGGCCGGGGCAGCGGCCACGAAGCACTTCCCAAGGGCAGGGACACTATGCCCTGCAGCGAAGAGCCAGGCCCTGGACACCTCAGGTGCGGGGGCTCGGGCTGGGCCCCACGGAGGATGAGGGCCCAGGGGATGGCCTGAAGTCCAGGGGTGGGCTGGGCCCTCCCACCTCAACCCCGTCAGCTCGTACCAGAAACGCCACCTTCCCAATGTGGGACCAGGGGAAGTCATAGAGCAGCTCGGGGGCACGGTTCACCTCCTGCAAAGGAGAGAGAGCCACTCAGGAGGGTCCACCCGAGGCAGCACCCAGTCAGCCCTCCAAGAGGAGGGAGGGGAGGGGTGGGGAGGTGGAAGGAGGTGGGAGGAGGGGGAGGTGCAGGGAGGGAGAGAGAGGAAGAAGAGGGGAGAGAGGTGGAGGGGCAGGGAGGAAGGAGGGAGAGGGGAAGGGGAGGAGGAAGGGAGAGGGGAAGGGGAGGAGGAAGGAGGTGGAAGGGGGAGGCGGGGAGAGAGGAGGTGAGAGAGGGACAAGGGAAGGGGGAGAGAGAAGAAGGGGAGGAGGAGGGGCAGGGGGAGGGAGGACGCTGCAGGGACTCTTCCGGTACCTGGTAGACTTGCATTCCCTTGAGCGTCAGTCCCAGGATGATGGTAGGTCTGTCCTCCTTCTTGTCCTGGAGGACACGAACCTCAGAGAGGCCCAGAGCCCTGTGCCGGGCAGTGGGTGGGTCCCGCCACGGACAGCAGGGCCCTTTCCCTGTGAGGCCAGAGGCCTGGTCCCACCTCCTCACCTCCTTCACCTGCTCTAACTTCTGCGTCCCTGGTAGCTGAGCTCCTGGAGCCCCACTCACGGGCCCTCCGCCCAGCTACCCCCAGACCATGCTGCCCACAGACTGCGGCGGGAAAATACCAGAATCGGTCCCATTCCACAGATGGTCCCCCTCGCTCGGGCTCCAGGTGGGGCAGCTCCCACCATAGGAGGCCGGTGGGGTTGGGGCCCAGGCCAGCTGTGGGGACGCCATCCACCCTGTCCCAGGGTCAGGGCCCTGTCCCGGGCTGGCTGTGGGGACACTCTCCACTCAGTCCCAGGGTCAGGGCCTGGGCCCAGGCCAGTGGTAGCAACACGTCCTGGCTGCCCCGTGGGCTCAACTCATCTGGGCCCCTTGGACACAGCAGGTGTGGGGCAGCCTGAAGTCCCGGGTCCCGCAGGGCCTGACCTTGTACAGCCTGAAGAAGTGGACAGGGACGTCCTCGAGCCGACAGGCCTCTCTGATGAAGCACAGCACAGCCTCCTTGGGGTTCAGGCCCCGCTGCTCGCGGTGCATGGCCGGCGCGTGCCTGAGGATGTAGGGGCGGCCCCTCTTGGCGATGATCTGGGGAAGGGCCACAGGCCTGTTGGTCCCTGCCTGCTCTCCTGTCCCCCGCCTGCCCCTCTGGCCTCCAGGGACTCTGCCCCAGGGCCTGGGCCGAGAAGGTTCTCCACCGCGCTGCTGAGTAGCAGGTGACCTTACCCATGGCGGAAAGTAGGCCTGGGGCTCGAAGTACCTCCCCGCGTGGACCGGCTCCCGGTGGTTGCCCAGGTCGGCCTGCAGCCCGTAGGCGGCCAGCAGGAAGTAGGCCTCCTCACGGTGGGCGCACTGGGACCTCAGCACCCGCTCCTTCAGGTGGCAGTAGTACAGGTGCCTGGCCGTCTGGTCGCTGGAAGGCAGCAGGTGGTGCCGGTGGGAGGCGGCTCCTGCCCTGCCACAGCCTGGGGCCCGCCTGCTGCCCCCCCCCCCAGCCCTCAGAGCTTCTCCAAGTCCCAGGGGTTCCCGTCCCTGTCACACCACAGGCCACTTTCCAGCGTGGCACAGATGGCCTTGGCCGGTGACCTCTGCAGTCGAGAAGCCCGGGAGCCTCAGTGCTCAGAGTGGAAGTGCTGAGGTCAGGCCCATTCCCTGGTCAGGTCACGCCCCGGGCCGCGTGGGCAGTGCTCCAGAGAAGAGCTCATGCACCGCTAGCTGGGATCCCATGGGATCCACTGGGACCGGGCCCACCCAGCCTACATGGATTTCCTTCTGCTAATTTCCCAACGTGACAGGCAAGAGCAGGCTCAGAGCTTCTAACACTAGTAACGTGATTGGTGTCACAGCACGGGGCCACTACTCTCCGCCACCCTCCACCTTCCAGTTCTCCCATCTACACTTCTCCAGAAACTTCCAAGTGACCACCCATCCCCCACTCTCCAGAGCCTTCCACACAACCACACATGCCCACTCCTTCCTCCCCAGCCATCTGTCACTGGCCCCCTGGCAGGAGCTCAGGGCATCCTGGGGGCCGGGCCCCGCTCATCTGGTCCAGCGGCTCAGGTCCCCACGTGGTACCTGGGGCAACCCCTCAAGAAAGCAGCCCCACAAGGCAGGAGGCCCCAGGGGCGCCCGCCCCGCACCCTTGCCCCCAGGCCAAGAGCGGCGCCCCCCGAGGGACAGGCCAGTCCTTCCGGGTGACAGGCACAGATCCCCCTGAGAGAAGCCGAGTGGGAGGGTGTTGCATTCCCAGGGCGCATCGCTGAGCAGAGCCCACCCTGCCCATGACCCGGTTTCCAGGAAGGTCACCTCCGTCCCATGAATGTCCTCGGACGGTGGCGACTTACCTTATGACCCTTCCGTTGTCCACGTAGTACCGCACTCTGAGGAAGGTGACGAAGGGCGCGGGAGGCCGCCCGCCGGCCTGGGGGGGGAAGCACAGCCGGAGGGCAGCGGCCACCCGGGCAGGCACCGACTCGGTGCCACCGGGTCCCCCACCTTGGCTCCGGCGGCGACAGCCGGGGCACTTCCAGGACTCTCATGACGTCGTCTTCCTTCCCAGAAGGGGACATCCCGGCTCGTCGTCCACCCACTCGAGAGCACCCCTCCCCGCCTCTGACTCCGTGGGCTGTGGCTGTGCCCCCCGGGGACCGCTCTGGGGACACAGCAGACACACGCTGCCTGCGGGTCTGACTTACCTCGTGTGCATCCCGCTTCCAGTCCTTGGAGAAGTACTTGCTGAGCTTCTGCTCCAAATCCATGAACACGTACTCATCGTCTAAGGGAAGCAGGGCCTCGTCAGAGCCTCCACACCCCAGGTACCGCGGGGGTCACAGGGTCACATCGCCCGCAGCTCGGGGGAGCGGGCCACCACGTGTGCCGGGTCAGGAGGTGGCCGCTCCACCAGGCGGCTCTCCAGGGGACGGGCAGAGCCACCCACGCCAGTGCCTGCTGCACACTCGGCCTCAGGCAAGTGGGGTGCAGCCTCCAGCCCCTGATGGGTCCTTCACAGCCAGACTCACCTGCGGGCAGGGCGGCCACTCACCGCCTGGAGTCCGCAGCACCTGTCTCGGCCTCTTCTCTGTCTCTCTGTCTCTGTCCCAGCCCCCCGGGCTGCATGCAGAGGTCTCCTGCCTTGGTGTTGGCTGTAAACCTCAGTCCCCATCATGTGCACCTCTCACAACCGTGGGGTCACCAGAGCATGACTTTCCATGACCCTCCCACCTGAAAGGTGCAGGTCCCCAAAGGAAGGGCTCCATCCCATGACCAGGAGGGTGCGCAGTGGTCCAGGGCCCCGTGGCCAGCGGCTCAGCCAGAGGGACAGGCCGCGTTGGACGTTCACTGGGTGCTCGTGGCGGGTGGAGCAGCTCTGCACCGTCTCCCCTTGCAGAGAAGGAGGCCGGGCAGGCAGTGACCCCAAATTCCTTCCTGGAACCTGCCCACCCACTTCTCAGCGTGGCCATCTCAGATGTCCTGACTCAGAAGAGGTGAGTGACCAGGAAGGGCCGCTTGGCAGGAGCAGCAGACGCTCGTCTGGGAAGCCCCACTGAGTAAATGCACCTCCTCCAGGAAGACCACCCCCAGCGCCCTCAGCCCCCAGCCCCTGCTGGCCCCCTCCACCCTAGACCGATCCCGGGGGCCCCCACTCCTGCCTGGGCCCCCCGCAGCCTGGCTGGTCAGTTTGTATGCCCAGAGGAGGGTACAACTTCCGTGGGTGTGCGCACACACACATGCACATGTGCACACGCATGCACACACACGGAGGTCACAGCTGAGAGCTGATGTGGTCCCCACCTGGGTTCCAACTCCCCAGCATCATGATTCAGGTATTTGGGTCCAAAGCCACCAGCCTGAACACCGGGGATGCTGAGCCACAGGCCCTGCTCCACAAGCTACTGGGGGCTCCCAGGGCCTCCACTGTGACAGGGGGTTCACCTCCACCTGCTGAGGGCATGATCCCTCCTTGTGAGGACCCCAGCCCAGAGGTGGTCCCCGTCCCACTTACAGGCAGGACCCTCCACCAACATTAACTGCCCCCCGCTGCTGTTCCATCACGTCTTCATGAGGCCTCTTGGCCGCAGGGACCCTTAAGGGTCCATCTGCTTGTCCAGCACACGCAGGGGGCCTCTTGGGGCTGCCTTAGGCCATCGAGTCCAGGGGAAATGGGACACTTTGGTGCTCCCCCCAACCAGGGCAAGAAACCGGGAGCACACAGAAAGTGGGCAGAGCAGAAACCAGCCCCTCCGTCCCGAGACGACTGCTGCCAAGCCTGGCTCACGTCCTTCTGGCACTGACTCGACCCACCCCGTGGGGTTTCAAACATGCCCCTAAACACTCTCCTGATCCTTTTCTCTTAAAGCTACTCTAAACCCTCAAATGCCAGAGGAGGCCAAGAGCAGAGGGACCACGCCCCCCTCTACTTCCCTGCAGACGACCGACTGTCCTCTCCGTTCCTGAGGCCACAGAGGGGTAACCACAGAAGCCAAGGTCAGAGACCAGCTCCCTGGCGTGGACACCGCCATCCTGGAGCACACCTTGTGACAATTTTATTTAAAGATTTTATTTATTCATGAGAGACACATACGGGGAGAGAGAGAGAGAGAGAGAGAGAGGCAGAGACATAGGCAGAGGGAGAAGCAGGCTCCATGCCAGGAGCCTGATGTGGGACTCGATCCCGGGTCTCCAGGATCACACCCTGGGGTGCAAGGCAGGTGCTAAACCCCTGAGCCACCCGGGCTGCCCCCTCACGGCGATTTAAAGGCAGGAAGCCTGGCAGCCTTGGCTCCTCTGGGGGATACTTGGAAGGAAACGCATCTGCAGCTTCCTGCCCTGCACTGGTCTCTGGGTGACACCTGAGTCCAGAACATTCCCTGCACATCCATCCACGTGAGGCCCACACCCAGAGCCCCAGCGGGGCCGTGATGGGTCAGGTGGTGGCAGCCTGTCCTCTCAACTCCTGGCCAGGCAGGTGGATGGCGGGCCTGGAGGCTACACAGGACCAGAGATGTCGGGGGCGGCAAAGTCCCCTAGAGGGACATGGGCTCTAGGCGGTACGGCTCAGGGAGGGGAGAGCACCACTGCCCCCCCCTACTGCTTCCCTCCCCAGATCAGGCCCCCAGGCCCCACCGGCCCCGGGCTTCAGGAATTCATTGCACATCCCTGAGCCCCTCTCTGCAAAGCGAGCTCCAGCCCTGGGCCCTGGGGGTCCTGGAAGATGAGGCCTGCGTCAGGGGCCAGGGGCTCCCAGCAGTCCCCCAGCAGGTTCCCCACTGCTTGGCCTTCCCTGGGGGCCCCCAGGAAGTCAGGGGGCCTCCTGCCACTGATGAGCCCCATCCCAGGAACCAGGAGTAATTCCACTTACGGAGTGTAAAACCCTAACCCCTGGCACACACACCCCCCAAAGAAAGTGGGGGTTTATGTATGTGTTTATTTCCTTGGCTGTGTCATCTCTGTGGACCCAGACACAGAGCAACAAATGGTTAAAGTGGGGGTTGTAGACATCAACCTCCAACTGGGGGTAAAGCTACCCATTAACTCAGCTTTCTGTGCAAATTGGGGAAAGTCCACCAGTATTAAAATTTAACAGCAAAGCCAGAAGCTGCTGCTGCAAACCTAGCCCTGGTCGCTCTGCCTGCCTGTGGTCCCGTCTTTCTGTCTGAGCCCCGGAACTGGAAGGTGCTGCCCACAAACAGCAGAGCAGGGGACCGTCCAGGGGCCTGACAGCCTGGACCACCGACACAGGATGCCCTAAGGCCGCACCACATGGGGGGGGGGCAGTGGGCCCCACGGGCAGGTCATCCGGGACAATGTGGACTTACTTCTGACCACGCTGAGGCCAAAGAAGTGGGCTTCCTTGATGCTGGTCACGTCACACACCTGCTGGAAGAGCTCACGGCCGGTTGCCTGCACCTGCAAGGTGTGGGTGGAGGCTCAGGGCCCCTAAAAGGGGTGGACAGTCCAGCGGGAGCAGGACGGCCACCGCTGCTTCCACCCAGGCCCCTGGGTGCCTGCCCGCGCTGGACCCTGGTGCCCACCCACCCAGCAGGGCCGTGAGGGAGCCAGGGCGGGGGAGGCTGAGCGTGCCCTGACCTCAGGACAGAAGCCCACTGTCTCATCCTGGCCTGTGCGGGGGCCGCCTAAGGATGGGGAAGGGGGATTCGCATGCCCCCCCAGGGCATCAGCCGGCCTTTGTCCTCATGTACACCCCCCTCACCTGGGTCACTCCTGAAAGCAGGCCTGGGGTGTGGGCACCCAGAAGTGGGCCTGGTTGCTTGGGAGTCAGAAGGGGCTGAGGGTGCTCTCAGGTCACTGGGCCCGCCCAGCGATCCCCGCAGTCTGAGCAGGTCGGCTGTGGGATCTGAGCCTTGGGCCTTCGAAGAGGGGGACCTTCCTGCCTCAGCCTACCCACAGGTGCCTCTTGCCGGGCGTCAGGCCCAGGTGGACCCCCCAAGCCTCTGGGAACGCCGGCCCTCCCCCATCACCTGTGAGGCCCCCTGGCTCCCACCCACGGGGCGGAGCTGCCGCTATTCCTGAGCACGTATCGCTCCTCAGCTGTGTTTCGCCTGCGCAGCGGGGAAGGGCGCGCTCTCCCATCGCATCGATTGTCCCGTCTACTTCACGTTACCCCAACAGCACTTCGTTACACCTCAAAACTGAACCATCTCCTAATATCGAATATCCAGCCAGTGTTCGTATTTCCAGCTGTCTCATGAATTCAACTTTTTCACACTTTGTGGACTTGAATCAGGGCTCAAGAAAGGGCCGGCGCTGGGGCCCGCTGCCAGGCTGCCCTCCCTCTGGCCGCTGCTCCGCCCCGGCCCCCATGGTGCTGCCCGCGTCTGCACCCACTGGCGCGTTTCCTCTGGGCACCTGGCACGCTCTTCTGTCCTCGGCATTTCCTGGGGCTGGTGGGCAGTCCCGGTTCACGGTCCAGGCCGCGTCTCCGGTGTGCCCAGGATGCCCTACCTGTGTCCTCTGAGAGCAAACACCTCGCCTGCCGCGGGCCACCCAGGCTCTGGGCCCTGCAGCGAGAGGGGTGCCCTCACATAACCCATGGGCGGGAGCAGGACAGACCCGCGTGCTGAGCTCGAATCCACAGGCTCTCGCCCAGCACTCTGCTAGGAAGGGGTGTACTGGGCACGGGCCAGCCCCAGGGGTTCCAGGACCTGTCTCCCCACCGGCTCAAGTCAAATGATGCACCTCGACTTTGCAGCCGTGAATCGCTGTAACACCGGCTCCAGTGTCCTCCATCTACTAATTCGGCAGCAGATGTGGAGCCAAGCCTGCCACAGGGGTGACGCGTACCTCCGGCTCGCCGAGGACACAGGTGAAGGCCGCTGTCCCACCCCACCGTCGCTCCTGGGTCAGCGGCACCTCAAAGGACCCCCGGGACACCCTCCGATCAGCTCAGCCTCTCATCACCAGACGGGTAAACTGAGCCTTGGAGAGATTCTGCTGCTGATGTCAACGTTGGCGTTGACCCAAATCCAGAAGTCCAGAGGGACTCCCAAGTGCGTCATCACCAGCAGGCCGAGCACATTCCACCCGTCCGGAGGGGGGACCCGTGAGTGGGCAGTGGGACGCCGGGTGGCTCTCGCTCTCTGCCAAGCCTCACCCACGTTCGCGCTGCATTATCATGAACCCCACTTTCCTTCAAAATGAAAACACCATCTCCAGGGTCAGCTAATCTTCTAGGGTTTTCTTGTCCCTCTCAACTCAATGGAAACATGGTGAGGGAAAGTGGAGGGGAACAGCGGTTCCTTCTGCCCTGGCCAGGCGGCCCCGACCCTCCGTGTTCCCAGGATGAGGCGCTGGGACTGAACTTGCTCCCCGGCCGGCCGGCAGTGTGCACCAGGGACCTTCCGCCTGAGGCCGGTGAGAGGGCGTCCTTCCCGCTGCTCCAGGCAGGGGACCCCGCAGGGTCTGCTCTGGTCCCTGCTGCGAGGGCACACACCCATTTAGCGCTCACCCTGCTGGGCCTCAGTGTCCCCTTTGTAAAATACGACTGATGAGACCGAGAAGGAGCATGTGCAGAGGGTTGAGTGAGCCGGTGTGCATGACCCCCGGGGTGCTCGGCATGGGGACTTCTGGTACAGGAGGGGGCGCGCGGGATGCTGACAGTGGAGGGGCACGGTCCCCTGCGCACCAGAGACTGCCTGCATTAGGGGGGCTCGACACCCCTCCACTTTTCACTCAAACAATTGATGAGAACTGGAAGGGACCCCCTGTCCCCCCAACCTGGACCTGACCTGTCCTACTAACCGCCCATGAGGAAGGGCCCAGAGCGCAGCACCCTCAGAGCTGGGACAGAGGCTCCGGCTGGGCGGTGCTTGGAGTTTTCCATCCAGCGGGTCCCCACTGAAGTTTGCTCCATGACCAGTCCTCACGCACCCCAACAGGTGAAGCACAGCGAAGGGGCTCTGTCCCCCAGGCCTGCCACATGCCCCTGGGGGCATCTTTGTCTACCAGCCCCACCCCTGTGGAAAGCCGGACCCTAATATCCCAATTCTCCTACTTAGGGATGCAGCCTCGCCTGGGGTGGGGGGGAGGGAGGACAGAGCGGGACCCAGTCTCCAGGGGGGCCAGGTGCAGGCTGACACTCCCCGTGACCGCGGGCCACCCTGGATGTGATGGCCTGGAGACCGCTCTGCCCCTGGAGTGACAGGTCGCACGGGAAGGGGTGGCTCGGGAGGAGGTCGTGGCTGCACACAGGATGGCCCCGTGTCCGGGGGGCAGGTCCACCGGAGCGGGCTATGCAGAGGGTGAGCACGGGAAGTTTGTCTGCAATCTGGTACACAAGCCACTTCTCGTTACGCGTCTTGGATTTTTAAGCAACTGCATCGTCCGACGGAGGTTTGCAGAAGAGCCACACGGCCCTGTGAGCAGAGTTTCAGGCATCAGCCTTCAAAGGAAAGCTCCAGGGAATCTTGACCATTTGAAACACACGTTCCATGGTCTGGCGGGTGGCGGGCAGGTGGGTGGCAGCCCCAGGTCAGGGCGCCCCGGCCTCCGCGGCCACACCTTCCCCAGGGCTGTCAGCCGTGCTCGGGCGCACTCAATGAACCGCGGAACTGACGGGTTACGGGGTCAGCATCTCGCGAGTGGAGCCTGAGTGCTGGGATAGGTGGAGGCCACACAGGGCCCGTGGTGGAGCCCGTCATGGGGAACCCACAGCCGCGATCTTTCTGCAGACACCCCCAGCCTGGGCGCGTGCACTTGGATGAAGGCAGGCAGCCCTGGGGGCACCGCCCTGGCGGGGGGGGCGGGGCTGGGGCCCCTGCACCTGCCCCGGGGAGGCGGGCGTCCTTGGGGAGGGGGCAGGTGCTGCAGAAGAGCCCAAGAGGGTCACCTCCCTGAGACGCAGGGCAGGCGGGGCATCAGAGAGCTCCGGGATAGGGCCTTGCTAGAAGCCAAGTGGGGCCGATGAAGAATAAAAGGGAAGAAGGACCGAGGGGACTTGTCCAGAACCAAGGCAAGGCCACACCAGCTGCCTGCTGGCTTCCAAGGCCACAGAGCTTAGGTGTTTGAGATGAAATGTGCCACAAAATGCCACTTCGTACTTCCTAACATCTTCGCCTTGTTGGAAGAAGGGACCTGTGACATCCCCACCGCCCCCCTACAGTGCCCTCCACGGTCACCCCAATAGTCACCCCACGGTCAACCGCCTGGGTCCACCGACAGTCCCTCCACCATCCCCCACGATCACCCCACAGTCACCCCCACTGTTCCCCCCACAGACACCACAGCCCTAGCTCTCCGCCACGCTCACCCCCACCACCAGCCGCAGCTGCTCCCGCGTGGGCAGCAGAACCAGGACATCCCTGGCCTCTGCGGTCATCTCGCTGTGTCACGGCACTCCCGTGGCCGCACGCAGGCTCTCAGGACGGGGCCTCCTCCATGGCCTCCTGTGGGGAGGGACTGGTCAGGGGCATGGCCAGGGAGGGGCCGAGCTGCAAACAGCCTGTGTGCCACCCGGACGCCCGGGGCTCCGTGTCACTACCCGGTGGGCCCGGCCCGGCCTCCCAGCCACAGGTGGGGAGCACAGCACCCCCAGACTCACCCCACTGCAGGTTAGCCAGGGGCCGGGCTCCTTGCTGAGCTCCTGGCTGGGAAGGTAGGCGGAAGGCAGCCCACGGATGGGCCAGGACAAGGTCCAGGTTTATAAATAGCTGGGGCACGCGTTGGCTGGAATGCAAATAAACAGTGTCAGGCCGGCCCCACCCTCCCCTGGCTCCTGTGACCCCAGCTCCCCCGGGACCACCTCGCGGCCCCCTCCTTCCTGGGGCCCGGGACAGAGGGCCATGTAGAAGCCCGTGAGGACACAAAAGCCAGCACCCGGATCATTCCTGAGGTTCCTGGAGAAGGTGGGGGCAGAGGGAGAGCAGAACCCAGAAGGGCACCTGCAGCATCAGGGCGCCTCCCCCGGCCCCAGCACCCCCTCCCCTGGAGGGGAGAGAATCAGGAACGTAGCAACACTGTTCCCCAAACAAACATGTCCTGTAGGCACAGTCTGACTCCCTTTAGCGCAGGAACTCTGGTCACGGCCCCTGGCTGCGGGTCACCTGCTACCTGCCCCACAGTGAGTAATGCCTGCCACAGGTGAAGGTTGGGTGAGCTGCCGCCAGTGAACCCTGACCCTCTGGGCAGAACGGTGGCTCCAGACCCGGAAGCACAGGGGACGGACATCAAGCCCCCTGGAGAGGTCTCTGCTTGGCCGAGCAGGTGCTCCTGTCACCTGGCCACCCAGGGGGTCCCATGAGGGTGGCCCACCTGCCCCTTCCACCCAGACTCGGGCCCCTGATTGCTGCTGCCCTATCTTTCTCTCCCCGGAGCAGGTGCAAAGCTGTTCATCATCGGACACATGCATCTCTTTTCAAGAGGGCGAAGAGCCCGAGAGAACACAACCGGGATTTCAGGGGGTTCACTGGCTTCCGCGGCCTGTGGTGCAGTGACTACCGGTCCCCACGGCTCCCGTCACAGCACAGGACACGTGACCAGGAGCGTGGGCACACGGCGAGGACGTGCAGCGGCAGGGCGACTCCACAGAGCACACACATGCCAGACCTGGGGGGGGAGCGGTGGGCAGGGGCCCCTGGGCCGTGGCAGGAGGGAAGCAGGTGCTGCACCCGCCGGGGAAGGGGAGCTGAGAACCACTGCAGCGGATACCCAGGGCCATTATGCGTCTGGCCTCGGTTCCTCCGCTGTGCGAGGGGGTGACGGTGCCCCCACGAGCTTTACAGGACCTGCGGCCAATGAGCTCCAAACACTCCAGTGAGAAACAAGGAAGAGAAGCCCCTGCGCTCCTCCCAAGAGTGCGACCCAGGGATTCTCTAAGGATGGAAAGCCCCCACCCCCACCCCCGCCCACCTGCCTCACAAAGTCCCTGGGGTGGGGGTGGGGGGGCAAGTCCCAGGGCACGGGCCTGGCCAGGCGGCCTCCAGGTGAGCCCAGCTCCGCGGGCCCCAGGGCCGGCTCCCCGCCCTCTGCACCTGCCCACCCGTCACCGACCACTGTTTTCAAGCTTGTCAGGAGGCTAAAAGCTTTCCTCCCTTGGGAAAACAGAAATGTGGCGAGGCCCCAAAATAAACACCACTTCTCAACGCTTAATTGTCTTCTGGATGAGCTCACGCCATCAAAAGTGGGGAGGAGCCGGCAGAGGCGTGAGAGAAGCAGCGGCCCCCCTGCACCCCGACCGTCCTGCGGCTGCGCCAGCCCCTCTCTGGCTGCCCCCCGATAGCTGCCCCCGCGCTGCAGACCTGGTCTTCGTCCTCTGCTAAGAATGCTCTGAAAATAAAGCTTCTGACACCCAAGTCCGCAGAGCACAGGCTCACGAGTGGCGCAGGGACACCGTTTAAGCAATGCCAAGGCGTGACGGGCCCGCATGCGAACGGACACCCAAACGTCCTGCTGCCCGGGACACGCCAGCCCACAGCACGCATTTTGTGTGAGTCCCTGAAACGTCCAGAAAAGGCAGCACCCGTAGAGGCAGAAAGCGGGTTTGTGGCCGCCCACGGGCACGTGGTTTTGTTTCAGGGTGATGGGAAGGTTCCATGGTGGTGGGTGCACAACTCACAGATTTACTAAAATGCGTTACGAATACTGAAGAGGAACGTATTTTACAGTGTTTCAGTCAGACCCCAATAAAGCTGGTTAAATACATAACATGGCATAAAATCATAGAAAAACACAGAAGTCATTCGGCAGATGGCAGAGCTAGGGCCCTGCTAGGCAGGCGTGTCGTGAGCACACGTGCGTGCATGAATGTGCGTGTAGGCATGTGGGTGTGTGCGTGCAGGTGTGTGGTGCGCACAGCTTCGGGGACCCAGGGCACCCCGCTGCCAGTCTCTCCTCTGGCCCTTCTCCGCCTGGACGACAACCCATCTTAGGGGGAAGGACTCTGAGCTCAGAGGTCACGAGGCCTCCCCTCGCCTGCACCCTGGGGCCCGTCGCGCACACACCGTGCGTGTCCCTGTGGCACCTCGCCCTCGGGCCTCATGGGCCCTCACAGCACCTCACGAACGCTCCCTTATCCCCACTGCTCCCAGAACGGAGTGGTGGCTCGGGGCGGCCTGCCTTGCTCATTTTCAAAGTAGGGAAACGGAGGCACAGAATGTAGAGAGGCCTGTCCAGAGCCCCTGGCTCCGGCATTTCTAAGGCCCAAGCCTGCTGAGAACCTGCTGGAATCCCACGGAAGGCGCCTACTAACTACTCCTACTAACAGTTCGGGAATGAGCCGTCAGCATTTCGGGAAGCACGAGACATCTGCAGTGTGCCAGGGCAGGGCAGGTGGGGGCTCCCGGTCCCCGAAGGGTCAGGAGGAGCTTGCCAAGGACAGGACAGGCGGCCGGAGGCTGTGTGCTGACCACGCAGGGCCGTGTTTTGCTTGCTGCCCTGTCAGAATTCTTGACCTCAATTAAAACCCGCAGCCCCACAGCAGGGCGTGTGGGAGGCCGGTGCGAGCACCCTCGGCTCCGGGCCACACCAGCTGCCTTTTCTCCTCACTGACCTTTGCTGCAGGCTGCAGGGGACAGCCTGCGACCCTGGACAGACGTGTGGCATCCTGCACGTGATTGCACACACTTCTCGAGGGTCGAACAGCAAGCCCGGCCCTGCCATCCTGCAGGTGGACGTGGGCCCCTGGGCTCACACCCGTCCAGCCACCGGCCCGGCCCAGCACCCTGCCACAGGGCACCTCTGGGCACAGGGACGGGACAGACCAGGGGAGCCGGTGGGGCCCAGGTTGCACGGACATGGCGGAACGAGGGCTGTGAATGTCCCAGCCACAGAGCATGAGGCTGTTGGGCCCCTGGGGAGTGACCTCCTGGGCGGACCAGAGACCACGGCCCCCCAGGCCCACACAGCGTGCCATCGTCTCTT